TTTGCAGGTCAGCTGATGTCCATGAGGTAGAGTACATATTCAGACCCATGGTTCACATGTCAGGCCAGACAAAGGAGGTACTGTTTTTCATCAGGCCAGGAAAGTGGTGCTATTTTAGGGTGCTTAATGTTGAGTGTTACATATCCCTTGTATAACACTGACACAGCTAAGCCAGTAAGACTAAAAACTGGTCACCTCAGGCTGAATAACCTGGAACACATTTCACCCACACTCCTGACCATCTTTTTCACAGGACCTTAAAGGTGGAATGGTTTTGTAGATGAACAATCATGTGCCTTGGGAAAGTGACCATCAATCATCACCAACATCCAAAGAAGGTCAGTGTGGCTCTGGACAGGAAATTAGAGCTGGAGATGAATACAAGTAGTTATTTTTAGCAATGTTCCTAATTTACAAGAATTTCATGTAGTCTTTTCTAAATCACTAAATTACACAACCAAACTACTTCATTAACAGAGACTTATTCTGACATAATACTATCACAATAAAACTAATTGTGATCATGTGGGCCCTCATTCAAATAGAGCATCAAACCAGGTGATCAAGAGTATCTCCCATATTGTCACTTGAAGAATACACACACACACACACACACACAAACACACACACACACACACACACACGCATGCACGCACACACCCTAAATCCTTCTGGACAATTATTTAAACCTAGGATTTGTAGAAAGCACTTCCATTCTCAGTCTGCAACTGAACTTCATCCTTAACCAAGCCTCTGTGTTATGATTTTAGGTAAAAACTTTCATTTCATTTAAATACCGTCATGCTACCCTCAGAACATCTCATTAAAACTGAAAGCACCATTTTCCAATTTAAAAAGAGAACTAGCTCAACTACCACAATGAACTCCTATGAGGACTGACTTCAATTTACATATTATAATCACAATTACAAATTTAGAATCTAAAAATGTCTGCAGAGATAAATGTGGTAAAACCCAATTCAAGGAAAACTGAGACTGCCCTGTGTGTGTGTGTGCGTGTGTGTGTGCGCGTGGCACGTGTGTGTCTGTGTGTTAGTCTGTGTGGGAGGTATGTGTGGAGGAGGTATGTTTAAAAAACAAACAAAAAACTAAGGTCAAATACTGAGAAGAAATCTGAGGAAAAGCAAGGGAAACTGGGGTGCTCTGAGGATGGAGGTATCCTGGACTGTGAGTAATAGAAGTAGAAAGTGGACTCAAGCTGGGTGCCAGTGGCTCATGCCTATAACTCTAGCTAATCAGGATGCTGATAACTGAGTATCACAGTTTGAAGCCAGCTAGACAAGGGAAGTCCATGAGACTCTTACTGAAATTAACCACCCAAAAAACAGAAGTGGTGCTGTGGTTCAAGTGGTAGAGCGCTAGCCTTGAATGCAAAAGCCCAGAGACAGTTAAAAAAAAAAAGTAGACACAGCCCTTTGTTCCTAGAGGCAATGACAATGACTTTGACAGAAGGTGAAAGTGGCAAGAATTTCCACAGCATTAATGTTTTCTTAGTGCCTAAGAAACAGTATGGGAAACAGAGTTATAAAATGCTGATTTTTTTCACCCTGTTCTCACCCTAGGGAATCAATTTCTGATCTGAGGGGGCTAAGCATCTCTCTGGAACGTGGCTCATGTGCCACATGCATAAGAACACCTGCTAAGACAGGACATAGGCTGGGAACTATCCAAAATACAAAGAGGCACAAAGATGACTTAAGAAGCTGGCCCTATCTTTGGAAATGTTTCCATTTAGGATTACAAACCATCACATGTCTTCAACAACAACAACAACAGGAACAAAGAAAAATAGCATTTTTTGAGTAGAAGAGACCACAAAGCACATTCAGGCTCTTTCAGGTACCTGGACTTCTGCAGTGAGGTCTCCAAGACAATAAAACAAGAAGTGTTCCCCACTCCACCCCACAAAAAAAAAAAACAAATTTGAAGGATGAACTCAATAAAGCCTATCTGAATTTTTAAGTTAGGCCTCAACCACAATTTTGTTAGTAAAAAAATGAGGTGCCTGGCAGGCTCCAATCTATAGTTAGAGTTGAAAATGATGGAAATAAATCACACATTTTATATTTCTGGTCTCTAAGGAATGCTAGTGCAAAGAAAAAGTCTTTAGTGCCTTAATGCGAAATACAGAGAGAAAATATTCATTTCCATAAGAGGATAGAAGAGCTAATATCTGAATCTGAGAGAAAAATCCCCTTTCATATTATGTAGCCTCGGCAAACATTTAGAAAATAAAATTTTAAGTTTAATTCTTTAAATCTCTTCCAAAAAAATCAATTACCTGTCATAAATATCTTCCTTCCTACTCCCACACACCCACTACTGCTTCAGTTCAGGAAAGTAAATTGAATTTCATTCTGGCCTAATGACAATATATGGCTTTCCTATTCAGCTATTGGACTTCCTTGACAGCAAACAATATTCTATTCAAACATTTTTGTTACCTCCCATCTATGGCCAAGCCAAGCATACCAATGCTCAAACAGGCAATGATCAAAAAAGAAAAAGGAAGAAAACAATCTCTTAGAAAACAATTACAAGTACCGACCTAAAAGTCATAACTTCTAGAATATATGAGATTTCCAAGTATTTTGCTTGGCGGGAAAAAGGTTTTTATGGCTGAGTCCTAATATTTTACTTTTGAAGTGGGTTTTCCACACAGTTAATATAGAAGCCTTCCCTCTCACTTGCTCATTCTTCACTTCCTTAGAAGAAATCCTGTCATTCTACAAAGGGGATGAATGAACTAAGACTGATAGGCAAGAATAATTATTTTCTCTGAAGGGAACACTTTGGGGAGGGGGTCAATGCCCAGGAAGATATTTACTGTGGCCTCCAATCATCCCAGCTACAGAAGCCATCGTTCGATTATGATCTGTTGACTTCTTGGGCTGAGGCTTGAAAATAAACAACTGTCAGTCTCTGAAGATAAGTGCTGTCTATATTATGCATTGCACAAATATTGACATGTTTCTGTTTCAAAAGCTGTTACTAAACAAGGCTCAACAAGAAATGTACTCATTACTCATGTAACTGTAACCCCTCTGAATAGCATCTTTACAATAAAATACATTTTTTTAAAAAGCTGTTACTAAATATTCTGAACATGGCAATAAATGTTATATCTGTATGTTGTCCCAAAATAATTATACTTGAAACACTTTTTTCACTTTTTAATTCCCACAATTGTCCTGCACATATCAACTCCTGGAGTAGCTTTGTCTCTAAATTTTGTCCCCTACTATAGATTCTTTGTTTCTCCATCCTGAACCTAAATGTTCACTCTTTCTCTTTTGGGAGCTCATAAACCCGTAAATAATTATTTAGTACATTAAAAAAAGTTGGAAGGTTCTTTGTTTGGCATCATGTATTTGTTTACCCTAACACAAATCTCCTTTTTGAACATGGTATTCTACTCACAGTTCAATAAAGCAACCCAACAGGCTTCTTCCTCTCTGATCAAAGTCTCCTCTCTTCCTTTTTATCTCTCAGCCCCAAGCAAAATGCTTCTCCCATAATCTTTGCAGCTCATAGTTCTCCCATGATTTTCCATGATTTTCTCTCCTTTTAAATTTCTAATGCATTGGACATAGGTCACACATTTAACACAAATGTCATGCTAAGACTATGTAGCCCAATTCTTCACCTCCCACAGAAAACATCTCTTATTTAGTTAAGTACCTTATGTTTTTATTCCATATACTTATCTTAACAAATAAGCATCTAAGATTCCTCATTATTTTGTAGGGCATATTCCTAACTCTTCTAAGATTTCTAATTATTATTTTGATTATATCCCATAATAAATCTCTAGGTAAGTATTCTGTAAAAATGTTTAGGGTACTAAGTGTACCTTCCTCAACTGTGTAAAGACAAAAATTCATAAGTTTAAGGCTTTGAGTGAGAAGTGTTCAAAATGATGCCGATCTCATTAATATGGTCCCATAAAATAATAGTGATGCTGGGCGCTGGTGGCTATGCCTATAATCCTAGCTACTCAGGAGGCTGGGATCTGAGGACTGTGGTTTGAAGCCAATCTGGACAGGAAAGTCCATGGATTGCCAATTAACCACCAGAAAACAAAACAAAACAAAAAACCAGAAGAGGTACTGTGCCTCAAAGTGGTAGAGGGCTAGCCTGAGTGAAAAAGCTCAGAGACAGCACCCAGGTCCTGAGTTCAAGTCCCATGACCAACAACAACACAACACCAACAACAAAAAACAAAGATCACCACCACCACCACCCACAAAACCTATCCATCTATAAACAGTTTTTAATCAGCAAGTAATCTTGGCAGTCATGGCTGGTCCTCATCACAAGAGAGAACTTAAGAGGGAAATGAGACTTTCAGAGGAATCCTGCTCAGGGATGGAGTAAGATGTCTGCTTTGCAAATTCTTGGGTATTAAAAAAAAAAATCTGAGAGTATGGTGGTCTCTTACGCTAAAGGTGATTTTGGTTTGGGTTCCATCAAAATGAAACCCACACAAAAAGAGCCATGCCAAAATGCAATGTCCTTCCCAGAGGCTGGTCTGTTTTAATCTTATTTTTAATTCCTAGGATATATTTCATCTGCATTGATAACTCAAAGTAATCACAATACAGTGTTCACCCAGGTAATTGTTATTTTCTATGAATCCTTTCAAGAGTAAGATCCATGGGTTACAAAACAACAATAATAAAGACATATTTTACAGCTTCTAACATTGAAGACTTCAAGCATAGTACTTGGAAGTCCATTGCTAGGTGGCACTTATTATTATATTAAAACTTGTATTAAAACTTGTCTTTCAAAAGTGTTATCATTGTATATCACCCCAATGCGATTTTAAGTACTGTACTAATAAGTGCTACAAAGCAAGAAGCAATCTCTCCTGGAAGAGATACACAGTATTCTCAATCAACATATACTTAAGTAAAGAGATTTGTAGGTCTGATTATGAAAGCACATGACAAACAGAAGTAAGATAAAATTCCTACCTTGTGTCTGTTTCTTGTTCACAGCATTATCAGCTTTATGGCGTTTCTAAAGTTTAAAAGGAAAAATAATCACAATAAAAAAAATAGACGAGACTAAGAATAGACCCCAGAAACAGTATGACTTTTCTCATTTAGGTTATGTGTTTGGTATGGGTGTGCATGGGTGGGGTGCTGGGGGGACAGAGAGCACTCAAGCCTGAGGGCATTGTCCACAGCTTCTTCACATTTCTCCTCTTCCAGCAGCACAGGCTGTGTACCTTACAAGGAGCATACCCGAACACACAGGTAAGATTAAAAATTTAATGGAATAAAAACATTTAAATGGAAAGTCTGTTTTAATCTGATGCTTCAGTAAAATAAAGACTGCTCAAGAGAATTATCTATAATAAGCATTTAATAAATGGTATTGAAATATTTATCTAATTAAGATGAGTACATCTTCTATAATTTAATGCCATGCTGATATCTGTCTATGACTAGAACCAAATACACCTACCATTTTCATACTCCTCTTTTCACTGCTCCTCAAAATCCCAGCCCCCTCACTAGAAACACAAGCCACTAACTCATAGGATCCTTCCTCAAAGTGACTACAAAATTAAATAGTGAACAGGTGAGTTTGTCTAAGGCTAGCCAGGTGAGTTTGAAGGGTTACATAAGCCACGGTTTGCATAACAGCGAGTAAGAGAATGAAGCAAGGGGAGAGGAAAGGTGAGAATTTGAGGGGCCAAGGGAAGCTCTCTCTTGTATAGTTCATCTGGAGGTTATTCCATGGCTTCTGTCTAAACTTACAGCATCGAGTATAACACATCAGACTCCATTAATGTTTCATAAAAGTAATTTACCCTTGCGCAAAGGTTCTGTCATATAAAGCCGAAGGTCACACTTAGTTGTGTGTCTCTGACTATAACATAAGGTGGGACAAATATAAAACAAATGAGGACCTAAATTTTTCATTGAGAAAAGACATGGTGTTTAGAAGCTCAGTGCATTTCTCAAAGAAATGTGCAGAGTAGTAAATGAGCACTTCCTCTGAGTCACTATTCACCACCTAAGATTGGATGGAGTAAAAATTAGAGTGGCAGGGTAAATTCAGTCCATCCAAATTATAAGCCATTAGACTGCATGAAAAGGAAATTGAGCATTCAGAGAAATCTGTGGTTCTTACACTATCTACCTAAGTACATGCTATCATTCTTTCTTCGTACAAAACACTCACTACATATGTATACTAATGTAGACATTTCCTAAGCCTATTTTTTTTGCTTCTAAAACAAAGCACAACTTTCCCCCAAACAATCTTAATGAATTAAAAAAAATTTCTATTGAGTGTGTAGCAGCAGTAGAGACTATGATGATACAACTTCCAAAGTCAATTTTATTTGTTTTTGCTCTTATTGTTTCTTTGGTAACAAAGATCGTAAGAAAAGAAAGTAATTCAAGATAAAGTAGGGCCCCAAAATAATATTCCAAGGTAAATTTGGATATCAAAGGAGATGCAAATATTTCCAAAATAAGGCACCTCTGGAGAAGTGATGGGTAGACTTTCAACTGAAGGGGACAAATAAAAGCGAATGGGTGAAACATATCACTCTGAACAGGAAACTTAATCTGGATGGAACTTCAGGCTAACTTGGATGTTACTTTCCATCTGCACTGGAAGCATCTCTCCTTAACTTTCTCTCACTCCCCTGGAATAAATTAATTGTCAAAAAGCCATGTGTTGGATATACAAGAAGATCTAGGCTGCAGGGAGAAAACATCTAATTTTGTATCATAAAGGCATCATTATTTCTTCTAACACTAATAGTTCAGAAAAAAGAGGTTATTCTATGATGGAAGTAACTCCACTGTCTTACAATCAAAATTCATTTACTATCACTGAGAACTAGTGAATAATTTAATACTATCGGTGAGAGCTAGTGTTTTTTTTTTAATACTATAAATGTTCAATCAAGAGTGTAGCAATGAATTGCAATGCATATAAAGTGCCACGAACTTCAGGATACATATGTGATGTTGATTTTTCAGAAATTTAATTTCCATGATAACTTTTAGAGTTGCATTTAAAAGAAATGATGCTAAGGCTTACAGAGATCATATAACTTGCCCAATAAAGTGAGAAATAAAAATTCCTCATTCTGGAAGCCCTTTTCTCTTTAGGCATTTCGTATCAGAAATGTCCAGTTTTGCCAGGCACGGGTGGCTCACACCTGCAATCCTAGCTACTCGGGAGGCTGAGATCTGAGGATTGTGGTTCAAAGCCAGCCCCAGCAGGAACATCCATGAGCCTCTTATCTCTAATAAACCACCAGAAAACCGGAAGTGGAGCTGTGGCTTAAGTGGTAGAGTGTTAGCCTTGAGCTGAAGAGCTCAGGTACAGTGCCCAGACCCAGAGTTTAAGTTCCACAACCAGAAGAAAAAAAAATAGTAAGGAATGTCCAGCTTCTCCACCTGTACTTTGGTCCTCTCTTTTCTTCTCTGCTCCACTGTCTTGCCATGATGAGATTCCTCACAGCTTCATTCCTGCCTGGTCTTCCACACTTCCAACTCTGTATCATCTTCCTAGCTCAACTCTTTCTTATCAATATACGAGTGCTGGCATTCAGACCAAGAGGTTCATTTGAGTTTCATAGTTATATATCTAAGCTCTTTGACATCTCTCTTAGATGGTCTCAAAAGTCTCTCAAACCACGTCAAAATTTCTCAGCTAGCGGATCACATGAAGTACATCATTTCCAAGCAAAAGGCCCTATCTATACATATAGAATAACCATCAGAGCTACTCTTAGACACTAGGATGCTTTTGAGACTGCTGATCTAAATGCTTAATGACCCTTTCTAAGGGGCCTTGTAATGTGGTGGCTTGGCTCATGTCCTCTTTGTTAGTACTGTTAATGAAACAATAGCAATTTTCATGAAATTTTAAATCAGGGTTTCCTAAACACTTCATGAACCTTTCCTCACATTTCACCATCTTATTATGGTTTGATCAAAGGTCATTTAGGGTTTATAAAGAAGTACTTTAAAAGGATATAAAAAAGAAAATGTTGGCTCCCTCAAGCAAGACAGTTAAAATAGACAAAACAGAGGGGGGGAAGGTCCATTTTATTTTGGGGAATTTGTCTTTTAAAGGGGAAATTGACTTCCCTTTTTCTACGAATCGAGAACATTAAAAATAACTTCCTTTTTCCTAAAACAAGTGGAAAGGAAACTCAGAACTACTAAATTATCATGACAAGAAATTAAAGGCATTTCATAAAGTGAAAAATCATGGTACTACGAGTTTATAAATGACCAGGTAACTCGAGGAGATGGCTGGAATTGGGACAAATAGGGCAGAGAACAATGGAAGGGGTGATTACATTCATAAACTGACATGTTGAATTGAAACCCCTTTGTACAACTACTTAATTTTTTTCTAAATATTTTTTATTGTAAAAATACTGTACAGAGGAGTTACAATTACATGAGTAAGGTAATGAGTATATTTCCTATCAAGCATTGCTACCGCCTCCTTTGTTTTTCCCCTACTATCCCTTCCTTCCCCACCTCCCCAACTCCTCCCTCCCCACCCCAAATTGTAAAGTTCATTTTCCACATAGTGTCTTTTACATCTCATTGTTACAATGTGTCAACCTGTATCCTTATTTAAGCATTTTTTATATCCCTTCCCCTCCCCAAATTAAAAAAAAAATGTGTTTACAAGATGCAGGACACCAGAATCAGATACAGTGAAAACAGGGGTTATACCGTGGGGGAAGAACATACAAAAGAAACAAAAGAATCACATAGTGCATTGTAAGTACATTGAAAACAATAGCAAGGAAAAAAAACCACTTGTGTCCCTGTCTTGGGGTTCATTTTGCTTACCTCATCTTATATGGTCATATGTACATGGCTTTTGACCTTTTCTGCTTGTCCTAGACATGTACTAGTTATTGCAAATAAGGGAAACCATGGGACCTATGTTTCTTTGGGCCTGGCTTACTTCACTTAGTATAATTTTTTCCAAGTCTTTCCATTTCCTAACAAATGGGGCAATGTCATTTTTTAAAAAAGTTTAAAATGAAAAATGCAAAAAAGTTCTTCAAGAAAAATTAATTTCCTTGAAAATAATGTTTAAATATAGTTCCCTCTTTAAGCAAATCATTACATTCCAACTAACTTCTTTTTTTTCTGCCAATTCTAGAACTTGAACTCAGACCCTGGGCACTGTCTCTGAGCTTTTGTGCTCAAGGCTAGTACTCTACAACGTGAGCCACAGCTCTACTTCTAGCAATTTGGATAGTTCATTGAAGAGTCTCATGAACTCTCCTGCTTGGGCTGGCTTTGAACTTTAATCCTCAGATCTCAGCATCCTGAGTAGCTAGGCATAAGCTACTGGTGCTGGGTTCCACATTCTAATCAACTTTGATTCTTAAACTACAAACACAAGAGAAACACTGACTCTTGGTATCATTGTAATCTAATAGGAATTAACTTTGATGGTAGAAACATAGTCTCTATATTTTTATAGTTAATAGGCAGTTTTAACAGCCTGTACTATGAATAAGATAAGAAAAGATTATTTTTAACATGTGTAGGAAACACTTATACTAATGAAAATTTCAATACTTACAATATCTTCTATTATCTCTTTGACAGCTGCCACAGCTAAAATAAATAAGAGAGGAACCAGTGTTGTATAACGACCTGTTGGTGACACATCAGGTATTTGCTATTTGAAGAAGGAAAAAAAATCAAGAGAAATTTGATGAGAAGCAGAAGGTTTATTATAAATCTAGAATCAACAAAATCCTAATACCTTCTAAAACAGGGGAGGTTAAATACATAATTTAAAAATAAATATCATTAGCTATATAGTAAAACATGTGACAACTAAAATATCTAAGAAACACAGTGAATAGTGAGGAAAATGTCTCTTCATCATTATAGGAACAATGCAGATTACAAAATAACACATGCTCTATGTACCTATGATAATCTATAAACAGTGCTAACCAGGGTGAAAGCAAGACCACAGGGATCTTATATTTCGTTACCTTTGATGGTAGACTTAGGGAAAAAAATTACTTTTTTTCTTTATGCTTAGCTGTTTTGTAGCTTTTTCTTTTCTTTTTGTAAATGATTAAGGCTATATTTTAATAATTTTTTCCCAAAACATTTGCTGTAACCAATTCCTTTTTGTTTTGGTGGTACTGAGGATTAAAGCCAGGGCCTTCCTCTTACATTTAAAAAGCAAAACAAAGCCCATCCCAACAATCCCAAAGGCTTGCAGAAGCAGTGGAATCCCTCCACTGTGTGTGGCAGTCACAGAAAAACTATGGGCCGAAATCAGCCCAGCTTTCCACAGGGAAGGGTCATGGACTCAACAAAAACCTTTCCTAGCATTTGACTCTGAACTAAAGTTTTAAGATATGACTTTACCTGAAGCAGTGCAATAAAGAGAAAAAATGAATTAGCAGCTCTTCTGAACTGAGAGTAGAGAAATCTCGGAAGGAATGTGATTATGTTGTACTTTGCAGTGCTAGAAAACAGAAATAAAAAGTACCATAAAACTTAATTACTAGGCAATTAGCACCCACATTTAGAAAGTTCTGTTAGCCACTACATAAAAAAAGTAGATGATGAATCTTTGTTCACTGTGTCAAATTGGGAGAATATTGCAAGGGATCATTAACTTAAATGACGCAGTGTAAGGAAATAGCAAAATAAAGTTCTACTGAGTAAATCTCTCAGGTTTTATTGTTTGTTTTGAGATCTTCATCCTCTGGCCAATTACTCTGCTTAACAGCTTTAGGTAAGAGGTTACTAACATTTTAAGAGATAACACATTAAAAGAGAAGAAAAATGACAGCAATTTGAGGAGATCAGACCCCCTACCTTCCTGGGTAACTTCAGGTAAATAGAATTTCCTAGGGTTCAGCTTAAACTGTCCTCAAGGCTACTTTAGGCATGAAGCAAAGACTTCACACTACTCACAGTCAGTAAGACATGGCCACAGACAGCTCTTCCTCTCAGTTGTCAAATGGAAGAGAGACTAGAGGATACAATAGTTCATACCTCATACTTTCCAAACTGGCATTACTCAAGAATTTCAAGTTGTAAATATTAATTTGAAATGGCACCCCTCAATATAGAAGTTATACCACTTAGAGAAATGATGAAGTTCCTATCCACTCTAGTGACTAGTGCTTACATAGATACATTTTATACTATTGTTAGAAAACAAACAAATAATACAGTAAGTCTCACAGAATTATACTCCTAAATTTCACAATGATCAAGAATACTTAAAGACTATTTAGTCAAAAAAATAAAAAAGCAAAAAGTTCTTGGTATAGGATTGCAAAGATGTTTTCTAAAATGTTAAAACTTTTTAACCAAAACCAACACATTGCTCTGTTAACAGAAACATGATAGTCTCTTTACATACTACTGGTGGAATTTGAATATACCTTCCTAATATTCTTTACTGGACAAAAGATGCAGAAACAGCAGAAGTCATACTGCTACCAAATATTAATTACTGAACTGAAAGTTCCTTATAAACATTTTCGGTCTGCTTGTCCAACTCTGGGTGATTGGTATTCCTATGGCATTCAATTCCTACCTGACATGGTTATTGCAGAACTTTGTCAGCTGAGGTTGGTTGATGAATATAGTCCTAACTTCCTCCTGATCAGCCAATGAGGTCTTCTCTGAAACATCATCAGTCTTCTCATAACCTTCAAAAGAGACGGTCTTCTTAGTTGATGAGAAATGTTACCCAGAACAAACACTCATCTCATATCTATTCTGCAATGTAAAATCTGATTAAAAAAACACATGCTTGGTTTTGTCTTGTTCATCTTCCAACAAAATCATAAAATCCCTCTAACTAATATTTCAATTAGATTTACACTGTAATGCTGAATAGTCACATAAAAATGGACTCACTTTAAAAAGTCACATCTCTTTAAAATAATCTCTAAATCTCTAAAATTGTAACATAACATCCCTTATATAAAGTTATCAGATAATAAATTTAAAAATAATAATCTTAACGTATAAAAAGCTCAAAAGCAAATAATGTTAGACTGAGAGTATAGATGAAACTAATAAATATACTAAAAATATAAGTAGGAGGAGGTAACAATGCTCGACAGGAAATGTACTCATTACCTTACTCATGTAACTGTAGCCCCTCTGTACAGCATCTTTACAATAAAAAATATATATTAAAAATATCTAAGTATATACATATAACATTCTTCTGTTTTTCTTTTTGGATGAAAACATAAAAGAGAACACTATTAAGGTTTAAATAATCAACTATTACCATAGTCTCATCATTCTGTCTACTAGGATTTATGTCCCTAAAGTAATCTTACATTTCTTAAAATCACTTCAAGACATTTCATTGGAACAATGCAATACATTCAATGCAATCAATCGAACAATGCAATAGATTCAATTGAGCACTTTGCTGCAATAGTCACAACATTTTTTTAAATGATGTATAAGTTCTTCAAGAACTGATGAGGAGCTGAAAGCAGTTTAAATTGCTTATTGTATTTTCTAGTGAAAATTAAGTGAGGATAGATTAAGTCGATCTCTTACTCTTTTGCTAGAAGGGATACTGACACTACGTGAAAAATCCATTTTTCTTGTCTTTTCCTCTTCAGCACCTCCTATAAGATCTGCTGATGTATGGTCTCCCCTCTAGCTCCATAATGTTAGTTAATGAAGCTCTTCTGGTCCCACAGCCCTCTGGACTTCCTTTTCTTCCAGCAAAAGACTTACCGGGTTTTCCTGCTGCCTGTTTATGAGTCAGTCTCCCCCTACCAGAATAGGAATTCCCTGGGGCGGTGTACGATACGTTGTTCATCTTCCTAACACCAGTCAAACAGCAGGTACTCAACAAATGTTTGCCCGAGAAATACATGCCAAATGACAAGGTTTTAGTTGGCTGTTATTTTGGGGGTAGGCAAAAGCTTTGCCACCCACTGATAAAGACACTAAACAGACAAGAGCTCGTAAAAGATGGTACAAGAAAAGATGCCTGTGGGATGTAGATACTGTTGGAAGCTAGAGAATCACTGAGATATTCTATGAAGTTGAAGGCCAGAACAGAGAGCCAGGGAGATGAAAAACATTAATGCTGATTAATGCAGGACACCATGTACAGGAAGTACCAGATCAGCTCAAGAAGACCTCCCAAGATGGGGAAGAAGTCTGGAGCACTGATTTTTCAGGATGAGAATCAAATTTCATTCACAGCACCTGGGAGGGCACATGGCTCCAAACTAGATCCTGCTACCCCCATCTTATAGTTTTTTTAGACACATTCAGTTTTACCCATAGTCACATGGTTAGTGATGATCTATCACTAAATACAAGCTTTTGTCCCCTTGTTTCGAGTCTTCAAAATTGCATAAATGGATTATCCAAAGAGGTATAGCAATTTTAGAAATTCTTTAAATATGCTTTATTCTCCATGATAACACAAAGCCAGAATGTAGTATTTGTGATTAATAGTTTAGACAAGAGAGCTTCAAGAAAATCTGCTCTGATCTGTTCTCTGCTCTGAGTGGCCTAGGGTAGCCTAGCTCTCTGGTGACCTCAGCTGAGGGGTGAAGGGTTAGGGCTCACAAAACATCACAAGCCCTCTGTTGATCCTAGCCTCACCAGGCAATCCATTTATACTGGGTCTCAATGCCAGAGAGAGTTGGCTATCTCATCTGCCCCTCATCTCAATTCATACCAATGAATGGCTACTCCTAGAACAAAAGGAGCTTAAATCAACCTTTTCTCTTAAATCAGAATTAGAGCAGGTAAAATAATCTTAATGGATTAGCAAAGTCCCAATCAAGATCAGATAGTAAGGGACTTATAAAAAGAAAATACCAAAAAGGGAAGATAGGCGTAAACTGGGCACCTGTTACCCAAAGTAGTGATATTAAAGACCTGGATGTTTCTAGGCACAGAATATTGCAGCTGCAGAAAGCTTCCTTACACATAGACACTATGCAAAAACCTGGGGGAAATGGTGTCTGAAGCTGAATCTATGGGGAGTTCGTAGAGTTCTGGAATGCCCTGACCAGATGTATATTATGAGAGGGAGCTATGTACCAAAAGCAGGCAGTGAAAGCTTTAGCCAGTAGGAGATGGCAGGCACCTTTCCTCTGACTTCTTAAGCACAGTAAGGCTCTTAGAGCTTGCAGTTACATGGAGACCCAACAAGGATATGAGGCCGGGCTCAAGATGTCTGGAGACCAGAGTTTGCATGTCTCACTGCAGCTAATCTCCTGATGAATGCCTAACTCCAGCAGTGAGCAATCTAATCAGTTCTGAGGATTATTCTCATTAAGAAACCTGGGAGAAAGACCTGCATTTTTGCTAAGCTGGAAAGTAAGAGTTAAGAACGATTGTAATCTGGTTGAACACCGATCTTACATAGTGGAAACAGGCAAGTTAGGCCTGGGTGTATGGATAATCAATCAATGTATATTCCATTGGGGGGGGAAAGGTCCTTTTATTTAAGTTAATAACATATTTGGGAACAGTGACTAGCAATCTTGTGAGTAGTGGCTAACAATTTTGATGACAACTTCTTCACTTAGACATGAAACCATATTCCCTGCCTGCAAATAATTAGCTACTCAACATGAATGAAACAAACTTTTTAGGCCTCTGTTTTTTTAAATGACTATTTTCTCTGTAAATTACCATCTTCACCAGCCACGATGGCCACATGAAGGGCTCTGACTTCATTAGTTACATAATGATGGTAGGATAGGGAGAATCTCCTGAGAAGGCAATCTTCAGATGGCACTATTACTATTCCTTCCCACCTACATGGTTCTGTTTTTGCTTTAAGGAGAAGTGAGGCTCCTTTCTAATTCATAGAAATTGTTCAAATAAGTCATTAATCCACTAGTCCTGACTCCTAAGGACCACTGAGAACTGAATTGCTTTTCAAACAGCAGAAGAGAGATGAACAAAGCCTTGGCTCTCGTCTACCTGGCCAGGCCCCATCAGAAGTCCTCTTGTTCCAAAGCCATGCTCAAGATGAAGTTTGCTGAGAGGAAGAAATAATGATCCCAATGTCACTCTGAAGTGAACAAGTGCTCCTCTTCCTGGAACAGTGCAGATCAGCAGACCCACATGCCAGCTGTGAGAGGATGAAGTGCTACTATGGATATCATCCCCCACAGACCACTTGGTCCCTGGAGTGTTACATCATTTCCTTGTAAGAGGAAGAGGCAAGGCTGATAACCAGATATCCGCTTCTAACGCTACATTCCAGTGAAATTGGTATCCACTAGACACCTGACAGGAGAAAGTCAAGAGCCTGTTTGATCAGAAGAGCAAGGAAATTTAAAAATAAAATAAAAAATTCCCCTATTTGAATCTTTATTAAGACATTTCACAACACTTACCCTCATCTGTAGCCAAGACTCAAACTCAACGGTCAAATGCTGCTTTGTGACTGTGGTAAATCTCCGTATGTGAAGAGCTTAGTACTGGTTATAAGCTGCTGTCAGCAATCACCTGACAGCCTCTGTCCAGATGTAGCACAGGCTTGTATGCACGCAGTACAATGCACCAGAGAAGAAAAACGCTCAACATTTAAGTGGAAGGCTTTATTGTTCTGCTCATACTATGACAGAAGCATCATCTCTCAAAGCTTTCCATTTCTCATCACACATATAACCCAATTAGTAAGATCTCTTTAGTTCAATCCTTTGCTCATTCATTCATTCAACATGCTCTAAAAAATGCTATAGAGACAGCAGAAAAGAAGATAAGGTCCCTCTCGGGGCTGATTTTCTGGAAAAAGAATAAGGATAATTTACACATCAGAGTCGGGGAGAGGAAAGAAATAAAGCAAGCGATTGGCAGAATGGTTGGTAGATGGCTTCATGCTTTAGCTTCATCATTCAGTGATTGTGAGATAGAATGAGGGAAAGGGAAAAAATAGTGTCTGGCAGGTTGCCATTATCACTGCTGTGGATGCTTTTCTGATGGCTGCCACTAATTTATACAAGTGATTAGAAAAGGCTTCTCAAGGAGCCTGAGGTCAGTTCTTGATGACAATAGACTCAATAGAGAGAGGGGCAGAACAAGGCCCTTTTCTTGGATTTCCAGGAGAATAAGGACCAGTAATAATAAAGAAGGTAAACCTGAAGTAAAAAGAAACAGGGCCAGACTGGGAGGAATAGCAAGTAACTTGCTATTATGCCCTAGGAATGAGCAGGAAGATCATTTCAGACTACATGCTAATGCAAGTAAAAGATGGTAAGGGGTGAGCAAGATTGTGGCAACAGATATGAAAAGAAGTGAAGTACACATGATATTTCAAGGAAGGGCAGGTCTAGCATGACCCTTGCTGTCAAGCCTGACTTATTGGTTGAGATAGGGTGACACTAACTTTTTGCCTGGGCTGCCAATGAATTGTGATTTTCCTAGTCAGCTTGGGATTACAGATGGGAGCCACTGCTCCTGGCTTCTCATTATCATTTTATCAGTGTATTGTGCCACATACTCCTAAACCAGAGTTGTAGGCCAGAGACCAGATTCTGGTAGTTCTGCAAGTCTCCAATATACCAAATAAAGAAATGAGTAACAGTGAAAGGCAGGGAAAAGAGATGTATTAGGAGGACTTATTTTGCTTGAATGCTGCAGAAGAGATAAAATGCACACTTCAGGTAATCTTCTGTCATTACAAATATGAGCTTTAAGT